CCATAAAAAAAAAAAATAATAATAATAATAATAATCGTAAAAATTACCATAAGACACCGAGAATTCGCTCTCGCTCCCGATCACCGAGGGTGAGAAACCGGCACGCAGCATGCAGAGGGGTGCAGGATACGCTGCAGTGCCATTTTGATTGTGGCATGTGTTTTCGTTTCTGCTTCTTCCTATCCGTCTACCTCAGTCGCCCACCCTCTCCGTTTCTCACTTCCCTATTTCCTTTCTGTCTGTCGCGTCTAATTCCCCAACAACTTTGTATATTCCGAAAAAAAACCAAGCCCAGTTTACATGAGATTAAAAGCTAAGCTGGGATTAGATGAAAACAATTTAATAGAAATAGCTCTCTTTCTCTCTTTCCTTTTATCTTTCTCATCATCTCTCTTAATAAGTCTCTTTGCTTTCTCTCTCTCTCTCTCTCTCTGTCTCTCTCTTCATAATTATTCTCATTCAATCATTCTCAGCCTCCCCGTCTCTATCTTTCACTCCATTCTCTATCTTTCCACTTTATCTCTCTCTCTTTCCTTCAATGCACTCTCTCTTAGTTTCACCATCTTTCTCAGCAGTTTCTTCCCAGTTTTCCTCTGTTTCTACTCCCCTCGTTCCCTATGTCTTGATTTCCACTTTCTCTCACCCTTTTTCTCCACTCTCTACTCTCTCCTTCCTGTTACCTCTTGCTCTACTCCTTCTTCTTCTCCACTATCTTCTTTCGCTCTTTATCTTCCTCTCTATCCTCTCCCTGCCTGCTTTCTCTTTCCCATAAAAGTTTCTGAGATCAAGGAATTGTTTCTAACTGATTCCAGCCTGAGAAACAACATAACCTCACACAAATGCATCGCCAGCTCAAACATAACCTAAAAGCGCTGTGCTGTTGTTGGGCTTCAGGCGTATTTCAGCTGTGCTCCCCCTCCCTCCTTACCTCTTCACCCAATCTCCTTAACAGCGTCTCCCTCTCTCTCTCTGTCTCCTTCTCTTACTCCATTTTTTCTTTCTCTTTCTCACACTCAATTCTTTTCTTTGTGACTAATTTCAGTTTGTCGAAGGATCAATTGGTTTACATTGGCTTGAGGGACATTGACCCCTACGAGGCGTTCATATTGAATAAATTTGGAATACGCTACTATGCCATGGATGTAAGTAGAATCGGTGGATACACACACACACACACAGTTTCGGGCCTGCCTTACGTGGCAGTTGTAAAACATTTTAAAATTCCGGTTTGTCGGTAGCCAAGAGTATCAAATGACGATCGTGCGTGAGAGCCTCAACAGCATTACGCACACACCATATTCTGGCTCTAGTTTCTCTCGCGCTCTACCTCACTCTTAATGTGTGTGTGTGTGTGTGTGTGTGTGTAAGTGTTGTAAATGTAAGCTCGGCATTTATAGGGGTTGTCGGTATGGTATGAAAAATCGAATCTAGTTGCACCCTTCTGCAGCCGGCAAAGTTACAGGACACTCCCTAGCTGCCCACCTACCCTCCAGCTGACTGGCAGTCCCTACCAACCTCCCTTCGTACCCGTACTAGTACCCCCTCCATTCAAATTTCACGTTACATTCGCGCTGTCAACTTCCGATCGGTGGTTGTTGCCACATACGTGCCTGGCCACATCCGTTCGCATCGTATCCGGCGTGTCCTTGTTGCCAGCCTTAATTTATGGCTCGTGCTAAATCGACGTCTGTTGAAAAATGGTTTAATGCTAAATGTACCCGAGCTGCAAATTTATTACAACTCATTAGTTCGGCCCAAAATGTGCCAAAAAAAAAAAAAAAAAAAAAAAAAAAGAAGGAAAAGAAAAAGAGAAACAACTCCGTTGGCTGTACTTGGTTCGTTTTTGGCAAATGGCGTTTGAATGATCGCCGCGCCAATCGAAATGCAGCTGAGCTGAGCTGAGCTTGGAGTCCCGTTAGAAATGAAGCTTTCGCGCCTAGGTAAATTTTAGCGAATGTTTCAGTTATGCCATGAACAATGCATTTTGAGATCGTGCAATCGATGATTCAGCAAATGATCAAGTATATATAAATAATATGCATATATTCGTTTTGAAATATGTGAAAAATTATTAACAAAATATCT